ATTAGCCACACTAAAATGTCAAATGATAGCGTAATATAAATATTGATATATTTTATTTAATAATTGTTCATAAATTAGACACAATGAGTTTTTTCATAACTCTTATCTCAAATCAACTATTATTTAAAAATAGTATTTAGTTGACTGTTAAGACTTCATTCTTCATTTTCAACGAACACTAGAAGTAAAAATATTTTCATGTATTTAGGCCTATAGTTTTATTATTGGCCGGGGATGAAGATAATCGAAAATAAAAAGATCAGTATAATACAATTTTATTATTGCTGTAGAAATGTCTGGTTGACGATAATTATCGGAACAAGTGCTCGTCGGATGTCAACGACGCAACAATAGAAAATTAACAATAAAGTTGACTATAAGAAGGAAAAAAAGAGGAGGAAACCTGATAAGATCCTTTACAAGCTTAATCCATTGTCGAGGTTGCGTGCGACTAAATGTAGAGAGAAAAAGTTGTATACTGCTTATGAGTCATGTTGGGGGTTTTAATGTCGGTCAGTATTTATCATCAGTCATGTATTACTAAAGGATCAATACTTATTATTTGTGCGTCAGTGGCGTACCTACTTACGATTTTTTGAAGGGTCTGGGCTATGACGTATGATGAGAGTATATTTAGTATTTAACAGTATTTAAGATATTAAATTAATTTTATCATTGTTACTGCGTATAATCATCACATATTTGGGCTGTGGGCTTTTAAAGTAAAAATAGTCGGATACGTTCTTATTAAATTTGAAAAAGACATTATTATAATTGTATACTAATGTAATGTTATTGTTTGAAAACCATTTTGATTATTATCATCTTTTTTTTAAGAATTATCTGCTATTTGTATTACTTAATAAGCGGTGACATATTTAATATTTTTTTTCAATCAAATTCATGGTTTTGATTCATATCATATTAATATTTTATTATATCACATATTTATACCTACGCATACAATATCAGCATAACATAATATGTACATCAGTATTATCCACGTAGGGTAGCTACTTCCGTGGCTGCAGATTTTTGTTTAAAATTTTACGTGTATGGTCGCTATACATAAACCTACTTTAGTATATTATGGTATCATCATTATTTCTTTTGTAACGTGATGTTACATTATATTACATTGTGATCATATTAAAGTTGATTAAATGTTGATCTGGTGTTTTACGTGTTAAAATATCATCATATCATCATTGGACGATAAGCTCTCATTTATTAAAAAAATAAAATGTTATGATCATGATTACAAAAGTGAGTAGTTAGCAATAATATTAATATATATATTTTTTTATTGAGAATAAGTCTTTTTAGCCCGCGGTTGTAGATACAATACTCGTATTATTAATGGATACTTTAGTTATGATTGTATGTTACATGATTACAGATTAAGTGATACTGATACAGTATTATATATTTACATTATATTTGGTATGCGTAGATTTAGCTAAATGATATTTATTGTTTGGTTATTACCAAATACAATACAAACGACCTATTCCTTACTGACAATTAAAATATTAATGTGTTAATTATTTTAATGTTTTTATAAAAGTTATATTGACTTACATCAGGGACTGAAAAAATAGCTTTGGATCCGAATCTATATGAAAATATTAGGTATTGGAATCTCATCGGGAGTATTATTTAAATTATTTGAAGACTCAAACCTTTTACCCTTTATACTTTTTAGGTTAATTATAAATACATACAGGTTGAAATAAAATTAATTATACTATAATGATACTAAAATATGATGATAAAATCTATGTACCTATCAATATTGAAAATTACAAAAACTTTTATATTTATGATTATTTTGGGATGAAAACGGAAATAAACAAAGCATTTATTCAGTAAAGTTAAGTGCATTTTATAGTCCCAAATTAGAGAAATTAAAAACTCTACAATTARAGAAACACATAGTTGAAAATGTATTCTTCAGTCAGCTAATGTTGGACTGTACTAAACTAAACGGGAACATAGTTTTATCTAAAAGCTAGACCGTATTGAAACTGAGGTTATAATTTTGATAACAACTAGATCGACATCTGACTCCTAAACGAATAGTTCTGTATTTTTTTAAACCTAATTGTTCCAATGGTTTTGTATCATTTTATTTTACTATTAATACTTGCTAGGATAGTGTTAACTGTTTTTCTTTATTTAACAAATGAGAATTCAAAAACTAGTATGAGTTATATTATATTTAAATGTATATTCTTGACCTTTAATATGCATATAATAATAATAATAATAATAATATTTATTAATTCTCCAACAAACAATATATACAAGATAAATTACTAATTAATACATTTTTTGTCGGATCACCTCCAAAGCCAAAGGCTGTGTTGGAGGTGAGAGTTCATGTAATTACAAAATTAAATAAAAATAACAAGAACATCAAGAACACAAATAAATAAGAAATAAGAAAGTAATAGTAAAGTTACATTACAATTATCAAAAATAAAATATAAACTATAAGCAATTCTAATCAGTCTAAGGAATTTAAATCTAAAGATATAAGTTTTCTTTTTAATTGTATAAAATTATTAAATTCATGAATACAAATTTTAAATTTAAGACAAAAAAGCAGTTCTTAATTTAGGCAGGGTTAAATTAACATCCTTAACAATTCGTGTGTTATATTTATGTGTAGGAGTACTAATTGTGTTAATATATTTAAAAATAACCACAAAAACATGCATTATATGAAGAGACTTAATATTTAAGATTTTAATTAATAATTAATAAATATTTTATTTTTATTTTGTTGACTGCGCCGTCTGCTATTTTGTGTAGGTGCAAAAAGTATTTTAAATAATTATAGAAGGCATTCTGCATTCAATAGAAACGATTCGAATGGATTACATAATTTAATAAAAGGATGTAAAAATATTAAACTTAATATTTTAAATAATGGAAGATTCATTATAATTATAAACCATATAATGATGAATTTAATACGTATAGAGTTTATGATGAGCTACCATTTTAAAGGCTTTATATTATCTTTTCCAAGATACTATAGCATAGAGCATATTATGAGTCATACATTAGTGTAGTGATTTAAAGCCTTATGTTTTAAACAATATTATTATTATTTTTTAAAGAAACTCATCAAGCTATTAATCTACTGCACGAGAGAGTATTGAGAAGCAGATTATAAAATATGTACACGAAACTGGATGTGCATTGTGTGCTGAAGGGAAATTAATTAGAATTAAGTTATAAGATAGGTAGTACAATCTCCCAGCAATGTAAGAATCTGTTATTATGAAGTCTAAACTGAGAGTCACATTTATTTCAACGATTGATAATTTTAATTATCACATAGAGCTCAGAAGACAACATTAACTTGTAAAGTTGTAAAATATACTATTTTTATACTAAATTTTTCTTCTCTAATTTGGCTTGTCGTCACAAATCTGATTCTCAATTTTTCTCTGTTTACGTAGCCTCTCACTCGTGTCTATTTATTTGTCCTTCAAATGTATTTGTCATTAATGAATTGTGCTTGTAACCAAAAATATTTCCACTTTTTTATTTTATGATGCTCAACAGAATTTTTTCTCCCTAATTGATTTAATACATTTATGTTATTTTTCATTTTTATTAATTTCATTTACAGCCATTTCTTCCACGTCCAAATTCCGTAACTTACAATTTCCTTCTGTCTTATACATTGATATTCCATGTTTTATGGCCATATAGAAGTACACTCCATTCATTTTTAACATTTGACTATATTTTTTTCGTCTTTATGTTAAGTTTTTTCATTGTAAGCAGCTTCCTTGTTTTTGTTGCGTAAATACTCTTTTCACCATAAATATTCTTTGTCTTACAACTACTGAGCATCTACCATTGGTGGTTGGCGTAATTTTTAGATATTTGAATTTATTTAAATGTTCTATTAAGTCATTGTCTTTTTCTAACTTCACAAAAAATTTTTTTTTACTTAAGTCTTTTAGTGAGAATAATGAAAATGATTTCGTAGGTATGCTTTTTTCTAATTCAAACACTAATGCAATGTTATCCGCAAAACGTATACAGTACCAAGATGTTTTCTCCGTTCATGCTTATTATTTTAGAGTTTTTTATATTAATTTATGTGAAATATTTTTCCATTTATTTTTAATTTTATTTAAGTATTTCTACTCACCACAAAATCGTATAAATATTTTCGCTGTCGAAATTATAGAATGAGTTATTATAAAATAGGATTAGTACCTATCTTATAAACATGAGGTATAATACATTTTATTATTTTTAGTTTATTCAGACTTGTAAAATGTAATATTTTACACTTGTTAATGACATTAATTTTCCACACACATATTAAATACTTACAAAAAATAAGATTTATATTTAAATTTTTTAATATTTTACTAAATTATTGAGTTTTAATAACGAACTAGATATAATTAACAATTATTTATGCTATTTTAGCAAAAATATCGCATGCAGTTATTTTTGTGGGAAGTACCTAATGTAAGTTTTGATGAACTCAAAGAAAAATCGAAATTGAATTTTCTATAGACTGTACAAGTTTATGAGAATATTGGAGTTACAAAGCACGAGAATATTTCTTAAAAGTGTTCTCAGAAACAAAATGTAATAAAATAAACATGTTACTCTGAAACCAATTGCACTTTGCGTAGGATCTGAAATTTATTACCACTGCACTTCATATATAGGTACAATCTTATTATATATTTACATGAATACGTTTTTTTTTTTTTTTTTTAGTTAAACTATGTAAAATATAAAATAGTTTGTATAGTGTAGAATTCGATCTTTAAAATATATGTTCGAGACTATATAATAATATCAAAAATCAATAGTAAATTTAAACGGCAATCTCAATTTTCGGATACATTTTCGATAATACCTACCTAGTTAAAACTACTTGTTTATCAATGAAATATAAACAAAATTTTGTACGATATAAATAACTTGATGTATTTATTTTATTTTGTTGGTAGATTCACACGGAATATTAATCGCTATCGTCGTTAATCATATAATTAATAAAAATGAATAGCATTGACAACATCTAATCTCATTATATTGCAGCTAGAAGGTAAGCCTTTTTGAATTTTGAATTACGTGCTTACTTTTTATTAGAAATATTAAGCACAATTGTTTTATCTTCAATTATATAGTGGATTTGAGTGTATTGTAATAGGTACAGAAACACATTTTTAAGAAAACAATTAAAATACAATATAAACATCGTCTCGTCAAGCTATTATATGTAGGTAAGATAAGGAAAATATTTGTTATCATAAACCTAAAAGTTATCATATATATGATGGAATTCCACATATTACGTGTATAAAAATTTAAATCTAGACGAATAATACTATTATCTTTTAAACTTTTGATTTTATGAAGTTTGATGGATAAATTTCTTCTAATATTGCACTTGACTAAAGATTTGCTTATGTGTGCTTAAAATTCGTTGTTATATCAATATAAGAGAAATCGATTTATTAATTTATTTTTTTTATTTAATGAGTTATGTTATCATTTCTGATTACAAAAGGATAGTGTAGCTTTATTTATTTTTTTATCTCACTATCTACCAACCCACTTACCCTTACACCCTCTACGTTTCATAAATACGGCAAGTACAGGAATGTCTCATATTATATTGGTGAAACATATGCATTGTAATTTATAATATGAGCAGTGGACCGTGCACAGCGATCGAGTGCCAAACACGCGAATTGTTGACTCACCAAAAATGCAATTCTCGTCAAGTTATTTAGACTAAAAAGGTTATCACGCCCAAATGGCATACCAGCGCCAGGCGCCCTTCTACGTATAAAGTGCATGTATATATTACATTATATCTACTTAAATCTACTGCAGTGTGTAATATTATGCTGTAAAATGATTATTTATTAAAATAGTTTCTATACCACAGGTCGCCTCAGTGGCGATGTTCATTTTCCGATTAATGGAAACCCGACAGTAATTTCAGTACACGTGTTTATTGTAATGAGACCAGATCAGGTCTATTTATTTTTTGAGTTACAGCATATACATAATGTCCCTAATCCCCTAATAATATTATAAGCCAATAAATCTAAATTATTACAAAATTGTTGCTTACTATCAACCTTTGTGTAAAAAAATATGTCAACGCATTGAACCTATGAATCTATGTATATTCTACAATATACCCGTACGACATGTTAATATATTTTAATATTTCGAGTATGTTTTTTTTTTATTAAGAACTTTCAGTATAAAACTAATATAGTTCAACAATTACAGATTGATACAATGACAATATATAACTCAACAGTAAAATAATTGAAAAGTATATTACACCGTGCGATTGTTTCAACAGTTTAATTAACACTCACCATTTTAAAAAGCATAAATGATTACATCCTTATCGGTTCGATTTAATTTTACAATGAATAATTTTTTCTCGATATTTTTCGTCGCCTTCTGGAGCAGAAAAAAGTTTAGATTTTCAACTTTAATATTCAATGTATCTTCCGTTAAAAAAGTGAATCTAGTTTGTCAGAAGTAAAAGATTTGCAGTAATTTTTCATAAAACTAATATCTGATAAAAATTATTTTTTTATTTTGATGTAATTATTCAAAAACGGAAAACTGTAAGTAGATACTTTGAATGTTCACAAGATATTTATAATATTATTTACAAACATGAAATAATTTTCAAAATATGAAGATGGGTAATTTGAGTAATTTATAGAATTTAACATTTTTAATTTATTTAAATTTTTTACTATAAGTGTTTATAAAAAAAAGTCTGCTCTATCAAAAGTTTTTCTTAAAAGCTTGAAAATGAAACTTGAGGTTACTTAAAAGTTTATTTAAAGCTATTTAAATATACAAAAGAAACACAGACATGGTTTTATTTATAAGCATCTAAAGTTCAAATTTTAACAAAATTCAACAAACATATAAACATTTTAAAATTATTTTGTAGTTAAAAATTGATAAAATGTTTAATTTAAGGCAAAAGTTCAATTTAAGTATCCACGTAAGTAGTTAACACTAAAACGAATAAATCTAAAAAAAACGTTTGAGGAGACTTTTTTCAATGATATTTGAAGTAAATATTTGAATAAAATTAGATATTTAAATGAATATTAATAATAATAATTTTTTGTTGTAATTTTTGATATTTATCGTTGGGATTTGAAACTTTATAGTATATTATCATATTTTATATTCACAATGGAATTTTTAAATTATGTGATTAATTTTAAGTTAATGTCTTTTCACACTGTYTTACGGTATGGCTGTATTGTTTTGAAAGTAAATAATAAAAATAAAAAATAAACTCAACTATCATATATTTAAATATTAATTATTTAATAGTCGCAATATTTTTGGATAAAATTAAATGAACCTATCGTAGATCCAATAATAAAATAAATTTGTTTAGTTGAAATATCAAACAGTAATGAAATATAAATTTTACAGTTTTTAATAAAGATTAATAGATTTTCATTTTTTGTATGTAATGATGTATCGTTGAATTCAAATTTTACACTTACATTATAATTTTCAATTTATAGTAACTTAATGAATGACGAGGTACACCAAAATTTACAGTATACCACAATAGTTTTAAAATTGTTCTGAATAAATATTTTTAAACAATTGGCAATCTATATATTTTATACTATATATTTATTTACAGTTATACGAGTATATATAGGAATCTTATTTGTTATCAAAATATTTTGTTGGGAGATTTTTATGTGTATACAAATTGAATATAGCAATACTATAGTCGATTAGTTATAACTTGTAAGTATTTAAAGTAGATTTATAAATAAATAGAAAGTGTTTGTGCAGTTCTAGTTCATATAACTAAAATAAAATTTATACATCTAAAAATAGGTAATTTAAACAAGTATCTAGCTACCTACTGTTATTAATTATTAAAAAAAACTACTGAGCTTAGGAGTCTAAAATTAAAAATAAATACTTGTCATTAAAAATACTTAGACTGTTATCAAACAGAAACAGAATATATAAATGCATGTATATCTCCTCGTTTAAAAATTCTTTTTGAATTTTTTTTTTTCAAGTTAATAATCATGACGCCCAGTATTTATTGATAACCATGTATATAATATTTCACTACCACGAGTATAATTTAATTTTTGATTTTTGCTCAGACACGGGCTACGATCGTCATGGTTTTTCCAGATGTTTTTGAAAAAAATAAAAAAATAATAATACGCTTATAGATTATTATATTATGTTAAACTGTGTGTGTGCACGAACAATGGAAAACGATTGTTATAGGTATCTAAACGTACGTCCGTGGTGGTGCATAATGTATATATATTTGTGGTTGTGTGTGTTTAAAATAAGTGGCTCGTTTGGCTTTTTCAGCTTTTCCGAACGATTTGCCCACGGAAACACAATCCTCGGGTCGGCTCATTGTTTTGTTGCGGTTTGATTTTCAGGCACCTTGAATCTTTTCCTCATCGACCCTCCGGCTCAAGCCGCCAGTAGGTGTATCTACCTAACCACACCGTGGTTGTTTTCGAGTTTACACTACAACGGCGAGGGGGGTGTGTTGGCATCGTATTAGAATAATAATAATAATAATAATAATGACTGGGCCAGTGTGTTTGCGCATTTAATAGAAAACGGCCGAGAGAAAAGCCAGGCGATGCATGAAATGTACAGATAAGCTCCTCTCGCTCATCCATAACCATACTATCCGGAGGCCGAGAGAAAATTCGCCGTTGTTTGATCGTAAGCTCCGAATTCACATTACCGTAGTTTCATTCAAAACGTCTCGATAGATATTGCAAGCTGTAAATTAATTAACAACTTAATCAATACAGATATTAATGACCTATTACCATATTATACCCCCTCAGGTGTGTATGAACATCTCATCTCCCATTACCATTAGAGCATTTTACTTATACGGTCATTAACGATACATATCTTTATATAGATTTTTAACGATATATGTATCTGTAAAAGAAGTTCGAATTCCAAGATTGAAAATACATTATGAGCATTATGGTCCACCATTAAAATACAATGCAATAAAATTATAACAGTAATTACTATCGTTTTTTAACAGAAAAAAATGAGGAAAACTTTTTTTTTCGATTTGTATAGAAACTATATTAAATCTAAAATGTGTTTATTAAATTACGTCTTCGCTAGATATCATATTATTTTATTCAAAAACATTAATTCGAGTTTAAATTTCATTATTGTGTTTATGCAGTAAAAATATAATTTAAAAGTTTGTTTCCAAACAGATTGAAAATAAGTGAACGAGTTTTAGATTGAAGGAAAAAATGTCTTCTAAGTATGTTTTAAAAAAAGTTCGATGAATGTGATTAAAGAAAATATACAAAACAAAAGACATAGAAGAATAACAACAAATATAATTACTGCAAATGGAATTTAGTATTTTTATTAATAATAATAGTAACAATATTATATTTATCTGATTTTAATGATGAACACCATTAATGCACTTATTATAAATATACAAAGTAAGTAAAGAACACGGTACATTTTTATTTCTTATGACTTCATTTTTAAATTTTTTTATCGAAAAGAGCTTTAGTGACAAGGGCTATATATTATTTTTCAAGTTCTTTAAAGGTTTTGATTTAGTTAAACATGCCAAATTATATCGTCTATATTTATGTTTATAATAAATATCAAACAAAGATAGGATCTCAATATAAGCCATCAAATTGGAACAAGCCTAGGCCCAAATCCTGAAATGAAACCAACACCATTGAATTCTTCAAAACAACCAAGTTACTCAAACTACTTTAGTCAACCTTTCAATGTATAAAATACCAAATAAATTAATTCTAATTATTTCTCTTGTACTTTTTTTTCTTTTTTTTCTCTTATTTCTTTGCTCTGTTCCTTATTATATGTATAATTAATTTATGTTTATAATGATATGCTAATGGCCTAGTAGTCGAAGCAGAAATTGTATAAATTTCAAGACCAATAAAAAAAAATAAATAAATAAATAAATAAATATCAATAATAATTTTTATTTTTACCAAAGCTACTTTTATTTTAAAT